CCTCCCTTAGGCATCCGCATGCTTATTAATATTGGGGAAATTCAAAATGCAGAGAAAATAAACTGGACAGATCTCGGGTCCCATTGGCTTTTTCATCACATTGTTGGCTCATGTTTAACCTGTTGTCCACGAGGACTCCAAGATCTTTTTCACATAGATGCAGGCAAAATGTCAGGAGAGAATGCTTCTGGAACATGGCCATATAGCCCAAAAAATCTACAACAACCTGGAAGAGAACTGTTTCTACAATTTGTCACTGACATAGATTTTATTGAAACATTCAATACAAATCTATAGTATGCCTTTATATCCCTTGCCAAGAAACAAGAATCACGATAAAAGTAGAATTTTACGTGGCTCCAATTGAAAATGGAGTGGCTCCATACCTTTAGCAGTTGTATAGGAGAGAGAATTTCAGTTGGTGGTACTTTTCATCTGCTTACACATAAACAAAACTTGCTGAAATTCCCCCTTCTGCCTTAATTTTAAAGATATTGGAGCCTTCTCTAGCGTTTCAGTCTGGAAACTCATAACTGTGGGTTATCATGGGAAATGAATGCATGCAGGGAAGCATGTGGGATTATTGCTGGAACTGAGTGTTTTTGAAGCTGTTGTGCCAAAGGAGACAGGGGTGCTTGGACTGACCAGCCACTTTTCAAAGCATTTAGTTGGCAGTGCTTTCTGTATTGGGGATAGAGGCCAGCAAGATGGAAAAGGCAATGCTGTTTTACTTATCTTCATGAAAGTCAAGGACAAGAAGTTCAGATAAGAAGGCAAATGTTTCCTTTTTAATGTTAATTGCAACTTTTATTTTTATTCTCCAAGTTCAAGACACTTGAGAATTGCTCCTCCAGCTTAGCTGATTTTAATTGGGCACCATGGTATTCCAATAATTAACATGTATTTTCATGTTTATGGAAAATGGAAAGGGTTAGAGAAACTGTCATGCTTTCCTGGTTCCTGATTGCCAGAATGTTTCCAGATAGCTCATGTGCTGTGAAAACAAATATCTCCAAAGGGAGATATCTCCAATGTTGAACATGGTACCAAATGCTTTGTTCAAATTGTGTACACAGAAAAGAGAAAAGGAGAAAATGCCATCTGTTGGGGAAGCAAGACCATTGCCTGCCCAGCCACAAAAAATGGGCACTCGCAGCATCAACTCTTGCCACCCAGCACTGGCTTCACGTTCAGCCTGAGCTGCTGACGGCCGGACAAACCTTTAACACTGAATGGGATAGTAAAGCTCCTCCATCAAACGTTGGTGGACAACATTTAAGTAAATCTAGAATTCATAATCAAGTAGAAGAACAGGTGAGCTTCTCTTGGTTTTAGATTTCATCGCAAGTATTTCATGCAGCCCGGCTGAGGGGGAAGTCTGGGAGGACAAATGTGTCAGCAGCCTGAAGCTGTGAATACTTCTAACCTTGGCATTGCCTTTCAGCCGAGAGAGGAAGGGCAGATGCAGCTCTGGAAGATTATGGGGAGTCAAAAATAGATAAAAACACTTTGCAACCAGACTGTGCCGGGTGAACCATGTTTGTTTTGTTTGCAGTTTATATAAAAGCCCTCTTTCTCATTAAAACATTTTGCTTTGTTCTTGAATTAGTTTTTTTCCAGCATGTTAAAAGGAAAAAAGGCTTATTTAGAAAGATCTGTTTTTGAAACTAGCATGGTTTTACTTTGCTTTTGTATTTCTAGAACCTGAAAAATAGCTGAAACGCCAGTGTACTACTCACAAAACTAGACATCGTAATTCTTTATAGAGCCAAGTTACTTTGGGCATTTTTATGTATTTTGGCTTTGGGTATTTTATGTATTTCCTCCTCCAAACAGAATTTATGTTCAGAGAAGGAAACTCCAGTTTCTGCCTTTCCTCAACAGCTCATTGTACAGCTACTACGGTTTGGGACCCGCCTATCTTCATGACCGGATCTCTCTCCATGAACCTTCCCGAGCTCTTAGATCCTCGGGGGAGGCTCTCCTTTCGCCCTTACCATTATCACAGGCTCATCTTCTAAGCACAAGGGAGAGAGCCTTCTCCTCTGTGGCTCCCCATCTCTGGAACTCATTGCCCGGTGAGATTAGGAAGGCCCCCACCTTAGAAATTTTCAAGAGGGATGTCAAAACCTGGCTTTTTTGATGCACTTTTGGGGAGTAGCCATATTATCATACACAGTTGCTCCCCCTCAACGTTTTGTCCCCATTTCCCCACCTGTATGAAGGTCTATATTTATGACCTGTTCCTTACGAGTTTCTCCCCCACAAACAATCTGCTCCATCCCTATCTCATCCTGATTTTAGTATTTTTAGTATCTTGGTATCTTGCTCATGCGGCCCGCTCGTTGTTATGTTATTTTATTTTATTTTCCTGTGTATGATTTTGCTTTATTGTTTTTGTACTCATATGTTGTATGTATTCTACTGTGTTGTTATTGTGTTTTGGTTTTACTTTATTGTAATGTGCTGTTGGGCTTGGCCTCATGTAAGCCGCCCGAGTCCCCATTGGGGAGATGGAGGCGGGGTATTAAATAAAGATTATTATTATTATTAAGTCTGCTTGTGGGATTTTGGCAATATTTGGTCTTGGGGAATGGGAGGAGGATGGTGTATGCCCGTGATGGTGGGTATAATGTGACATGAAGATTCGGGGACAGACGGACTTAGAAGACAGAAACCACCCTTGACGTATTTATAGAGTGGAGGGGCCATTTAGGATTGCACTCTGATCTGCACAAATATTATATGGTTAGAGTCCATGAGCTATGGGTCAGATCAGTTTATATCAAAAGTTGTGAACATTGTGCTCGGCTTGTCCCATAGAGTTTATGAAAGCATTTTTTTTTACTATTACAGTTCCCAGTAATCCAAACAATAGCTTTTACAAGTTCTGATTCGTACTAATATGTGGTTTGGCATATTTATACAATCTGAAGAGAAAGCAGAATTTGGCATATTTATAAAAGAGCCACAGTTTATCAGACACTGGCAGAAAACCTCAAGATAATATTGATCAAACTAGACTGAAAAAAGGGGTGAAATGACTTATTTTGGTTCAAGGACAGAAAACATTGTCTATGAGAACTGCATTGAAGTAATTAAATTCCAGGTCAAGCTTTTAGATACGCCAGTGTTTGTTGTTTATAATTAATATTTTAGTATTAACAGTGTGGTTGGACAGGGAAGGAAATACGCACTACTGTTGTAAGCATAGCAGAGTGGGTGAATTAGGACTCGGTATGTAAGCTTAGCTGGTGGCTTCTTCTTGACTGTGTACCAGCCTAGATGGATCTATTTTGGTGAAGGGACTATCAAATGTCTCCATGGATTTCACAGGCTGTTTTTATACCCAGGATGTTCCCGGAGGAAGCGCACCTCTTGCCAGCATTCCATGCCCAGGTCAAGAGGGCTGGCAGTGTCTGGCAGACCCACGGGAAGCTCTGTCCTTGAACATCAGGCTCACATCCTACAACTTATCAGTCTGAGTGGGAGAGCTAAGAAGCATATCTGGGCCACTTTGGGTTCTATGGCACCATATTACTTTTTTAAAATGGAAAAAAATAGTGATCAGGCTGGAATCAAGGGGCGTAATAGCCGCCATACCACAATTGTGATTTGACTGGAGGGTTTGGAGGAGGGTATGTGGTGCTAGCTATTTAATTTTCTAAAGGTCATCCAGGAAAGAACTAAAGAGCATAAATAATATCACAACTGTGCTGACAGCACTTTGCCAGTGAATCTAAACTACAACTCCCAGAATTCCATAGTATTGAGCCGTGGCAGTTAAAGCAATGTCAAACTGCATTTATTGTGCAGTGTAGATACTCCCTGTGACATATTAATTTTAATTTTTAAACAGCAAGTAAGCTGTGGTGGTCAGTCAGCTGCAATTCCAGCACTTCAGAGGCCATTACAGAACAGGCTATTACTTAATAAGTTCCAGTTGGAGCAGATCCTCCAGCAACATATATTAATGGACATGTATGTGAGCATGCACAAATGCGGTATCTCGGTCATTGAATGCAGCAGAACAGCAGTACTGCCAGAAGTGTACAAATGAACTCATATTTTCATCTGTGAACCATACCTTATTTTAATCTATGAAAATAAGTATAATTTCATACATCAAACACACAATTTAATTCCTTGCAACAGGAGTGCTCTAGTTTTAAGAGTGGAATTCCATTTTTAAAAGGTTGTTTGTCACATTATCTTACTTTGGCAAGAAAGTTGCCAGAAAGACAACTGAGTGGGCTGCTGTACTTTTAATGGTTGCAAGAGTGCATCTGCACCGCAGAATCAATGTATTTGAATCTACTTTAAATACTATGACTCAGTGGTATAGAATCCTTGGAATTGTAGTTTGGTGAGGCGCCAGTACTCCTTGGGAGAGAAGACTAAATACCTTGTAAGACTTTTTTTCCCCCCTGATGTAACAGGCTCTAACCTGACCATCCTCTGCTTATTTTTTATATTTTAATTTGCTTAAAAATTATATTTCTTTATTTCTGTGAAACTTTCCATATTTTGTAGCGTTAGTGCTTATTTGAACAAAGTAGTAGATGCTTTATGCTGAAATAGGTCCTCTATTTAAAATTAATGTAGTGCCTGGGAATCCTTCTGCAGTGGTGTCCAGTTGACACATCGAAATTGTATAATCATTAATTATAACTAGGGATATGTTTATACACACACACACATCCTCATCCTTATGGCATCTGACTTAAAGTTTCGCGGATCGAAAATGCTGCCAATAAATAATAATAATAAATAATAAACTTTATTTATACCCCGCCACCATCTCCCCAATGGGGACTCTCGTTATTTTTACTGTAGCAGTCCAGGGTCAAGCTAGGAGTTGTTGAGAAAACCTGCAATCTGTCCAGTATTAGTAATTTTGGATATATGCTAAAATGGGTTCAAAGTAAAACAGTCCTTGTCTTTCATCTTTGCTTTTGTTCTTCTCTCCCCCTCTTTTCCTGCTGCCCCCCTATTTTCAGCCCATCACTTCATGGTGGTCACGGCATGCCGCGAAGCCGTCTATGGCCAACTCATCCAGGAATTTTGCCTCAGCAAGTTTAAATCAGACATGGAAACTCTCAGGACGACACTGTGGTGTGACTGGGAGAAGACTCTTGAGTGAGTATAAAATGGTCTAAATTACATTTTATCCACTGAAATGGGAAGAGAAGGGGTAAACATCAAAGTTAAAATGTTAAAGTGGGCTTCATAAGTCTGCAGTCCAACCCAGAACGTATCTCAAGACAGCACTCCCCATCTGTTTGGTGCTCTATTGTCAGAGTAGATAACGTGTGGGCAGAAGCCCCTCCTCCCAGTATTGTTGGGGCAAACAGCCTTGCTTTCCTGGGCTGTTTTGTTTTATTTTGAAAAACAAAAAAAATAGTTTCTGGTTGCAGTTGGCCCTTTGCTAGTTTGACTTTTACTTATTTCATTGTTGGTGATTTGGATTAAAAGTTTCTCACTAGGAATCTCTAGGTCCTCCAGTGCAACTATACTATCTACTTTGACTAAAGGTTGACCACAGAGTCATGCGGGAGGATGTAGAAAAACGCCTCTCTAGGAAACACTAGGTTCTTCGGTGTGATTCTGTGGTTAACTTGTGGCAGAAGTTAATAATAGAGTCATGCTCGAGGACCTAGAGATTCCTAGCAAAGTACTATTTGTTCACGGTTTTTCCATTTTCACAGGAGTGAGCCGTATACCCCCAACCCTAGGAAATGTGGATGACTGACAGTATTTCTCATTTTTTGTGTTTTCTACTAAAAAGCTATTTTACTGTTAGAATTTCCAAAGGAATTAACATAAAAAACCCAAGCAAAATATATACAAGCAAACAAGATTTTTTAAAATTAAAAGCACACTTTGGAGCTGGTGTATAGCCCGCAGTGAATCTCAGGGTGGCAAAATTGTCTCCTGGACCAAAAATAGTTGGCCATGTCTGCTGATGAGAGTCGTGACGATCATACAGAAATATCACTGTGCTCATAAAGCACTGCCATGGCATAATACAAAACCTGAACAACCCCATAGATCCCTTAAGCAAGCAATCCCTTCACCTATACGCACCCCACACCTAGCTCTTCTCCTTAATTTAGCATAGCTTCCAATGCTTGGAGAAAGAAAAAGAATATTGATTTTTTATGCATTTGATTGTATTTTATTATGTGTTTTATTGTTTTGGCATTGAATTGTTGCCTGTTGGTAGCTGTCCTGAGTCCCTCTTTGGAGGTCAAGAAAGGACGGGGTATAAATGTTCCAAATAAATAAATAAACTTGTTCCAATTTGAGAGTACAAATTCCTGGCAAGGCATTTTTAAGAATTCCCCACACCAAGTACTGTATATACATTTCCCTAAAATTGTACATGGATTCTTTGAGTCTATATGTCAATTGTTATTTTTTAAGATCTGTTTTTAGGAGATGTAGGCAAGCAATTTTTTAAAAGCAAAACATTTTGGGGCGGGGTCAGCCGTATTCTGAGTCAGCCGGATTTTAGGCTATGTTTCATTTGTAAGTACTTATAAATGTCTAAAAAAGGGGATCTTAGATTTTAAAAAATACATCATATCTCATATTATTTCCACCAATAATAGGAAGTATTTTGAACTTTGTTTGAAGAGTTTGTTGTGACTAAGCTTTGATAAAGGGCTTTTTCAGTAGTCACAACCATGGCAGTTTTTATTTGTAAATTATATGCATGTGCTTTCTGGATACTTTTGAATTCATAGTCGTATCTAGAACACGTTTTGGGCAGATGAGCCTGGTTTAAGAACAAGCAGACACCTCACTGGCTGTTCCCCAAGAAATCCTATCCTCCCACACTTGCCTACACTTGTCTTGAGGTAGCCTGTACAAGGCAGACAACTGCTGTAGTCCTGCTAAATCATAAAATCAAAGAGTTAGAAGAGACCTCATGAGCCATCCAGTCCAACCTCCCGCCAAGGAGCAGGAACATTGCATTCAAATCACTCCCAACAGATGGCCATCCAGCCTCTGTTTAAAAGCTTCCAAAGAAGGAGCCTCCGCCACACTCCGGGGCAGAGAGTTCCACTGCTGAACGGCTCTCACACTCAGGAAGTTCTTCCTCATGTTCAGATGGAATCTCCTTTCTTGTAGTTTGAAGCCATTGTTCCGCTTCCTAGTCTCCATGGAAGCAGAAAACAAGCTTGCTCCCTCCTCCCTGTGGCTTCCTCTCACATATTTATACATGGCTATCATATCTCCTCCCAGCCTTCTCTTCTTCAGGCTAAACATGCCCAGCTCCTTAAGCCACTCCTCATAGGGCTTGTTCTCCAGACCCTTGATCGTTTTAGTCACCCTCTGGACACATTCCTTGCTGTACACACTCTGTGTTGAACTTTCCATTAAAAGCACATAACCTGCATCATGGGCACCCAGGCCTTAACTCCCGAAAATATAAAGTGTAGAAAAGGGAGACATGTCTCTCCAAGCATGCTGTGGGTATGAACTAGGCCCATAGTAAGTGACTCAGTTGCTCAGAACGTATTACATGGCCATAGGTTAACATGTCTGCTCAGAAGTAATTCCCATTAAGTTATATTTTCATGTAAGTGGCCATCAAATTACAACCTAAGAGATTCTTTTCATTTCCCAAGACTTTTAATGTATTTTACTCTTGCTGGCTATGACCCTTTTCTTTGCTTGATTTTGTTAAAGGAGTGTATAACTTCCAGGCAAAGGTATAGTGCTTTGATTAAAAAGGGGGGAAAAAGGACAAAATTAAAAGTGTTCGTGGCAAATGCTGATGGATGCTTCTTATAAATGAAATACTCTTTGGGCATATAGTTGCAGGGAAGTTGGATTATTTCAGCACTTAGAATCATAGAATCATAGAATCAAAGAGTTGGAAGAGACCTCATGGGCCATCCAGTCCAACCCCCTGCCAAGAAGCAGGAATATTGCATTCAAATCACCCCTGACAGATGGCCATCCAGCCTCTGCTTAAAAGCTTCCAAAGAAGGAGCCTCCACCACACTCCGGGGCAGAGAGTTCCACTGCTGAACGGCTCTCACAGTCAGCACTTACTCAATGTGTTGTTGTTCCTAGCAAATGGATGTGTTTTTTTTTCTCAAGCATGGTTTTTTTTTTGAGAGCAATAAGAAGGCAAATCTGATATTTCTCCCACCAACAAAAATTACTCCAGTGACCTCCTCTAGTCATAAGTGCAGTAAAAGATATTATTTTCCAGTTAAACATTAAGAAATCACAGGCAAAAGACTTTATACCCTCAACAATTAAAAAATCTGATAGCAACTAGTAAATGTCTGTGCTTGCTGTTGTATTAGCAGTATAGCTTCAACAGGGAGTATTCTCAAGGTCCAGAGCACAGCAGTGATTGCCTCCATTTATAAAAAGACAATCTTGCACATTCTTGTCCACTTAGTACAGTGCTTCTCAACCTTCCTAATGCCATGACCCCTTAATACAGTTCCTCATGTTGTGGTGACCCCCAACCATAAAATTATTTTCGTTGCTACTTCACAACTACAAATTTGCTACTGTTATGAATCATAATATAAATATCTGATATGCAGGATGTATTTCCATTCACTGGACAACATTTGGCACAAATATCTGATATGCCCCAATTTGAATACTGGTTGGGTTGGCAGGGGATTGATGTTGTCATTTGGGAGTTGTAGTTTCTGGGATTTATAGTTCACCTACAATCATAGAATCAAAGAGTTGGAAGAGACCTCATGGGCCATCCAGTCCAACCCTGTACCAAGAAGCAGGAATATTGCATTCAAATCACCCCTGACAGATGGCCATCCAGCCTCTGTTTGAAAGCTTCCAAAGGAGCCTCCACCACACTCCGGGGCAGAGAGTTCCACTGCTGAACATCTCTCACAGTCCGGAAGTTCTTCCTCATGTTCAGATGGAATCTCCTCTCTTGTAGTTTGAAGCCATTGTTCCTTGTCCTAGTCTCTATGGAAGCAGAAAACAAGCTTGCTCCCTCCTCCCTGTGGCTTCCTCTCACATATTTATACATGGCTATCATATCTCCTCTCAGCCTTCTCTTCTTCAAACTAAACATGCCCAGCTCCTTAAGCCGCTCCTCATAGGGCTTGTTCTCCAGACACTTGATCATTTTAGTCGCCCTCCTCTGGACACATTCCAGGTTTTCAATATTTTTCTTGAATTGTGGTGCCCAGAATTGGACACAATATTCCAGGTGTGGTCTAACAAAGGGGGAATAGAGGGGTAGCATTCAAAAAGCATTCTGAACTCTATCAACAATGGAATCGAACCAATCTTACTACACAGAACTCCCTTGACTAACGGAAAATACTGGAAGGGTTTGGTGGGCATTGACCTTGACTTTTGGAGTTGTAGTTCATCTACATCCAGAGAGCACTATGGACTCACACAATGATGTGGACCAATTTTGCCATGAATACTCAATATGCCCCAATGTGAGTGAACACTGGTGGAGTTTGGGAAAAACAGACCTTGGCATTTGGGAATTGTAGTTGTTGGGATTTATAGTTCACCTACAATAAAAGATCATTCTGATCCCCACCAATGATAGAATTGGGGTGAACTTCCCACACGGAACCCCTATGACCAACAGAAAATACTGTGTTTTCGGATGGTCTTTGGCGACCCCTCTGACACCCCCTCGTGACCCCCCCAGGGGTCCTGACTCCCAGGTTGAGAAACACTGATTTAGTATGTTATGTGTGTTATCAGCAAACTGTATGTTGTTCCTTTCTCAACAACCTCAGAACTCACCCTAAAGCTCCCTATTCCCACCCCATGGCAATCCTAAAGTTGTATTGTAAATAATGGCTGCCATTGTAAATATCTGCCAGTGTCAACAGGCGCGTTTGTTCCCAGAAGAAGGAGGGAGGTGGCAAGGGAGCGCAGTCCTTTGCGGTTATGAGCCGGCTCTCCCCAGACTATTAGGTGCAAATTTTGGGCTTGGGGATTGGTCAAAAACTCCACCAAAGACAACAGAGTTTAAATAGCTGGCTCACAGGAAGGAGGTAGCCAGTCCAAGAGGAACTTCAGCCCACCTTCCTCCCCCTGAAATATTGCAGCTATTTATTGTCACGACTGGGGTTTTGGTGAATGGCATGGGTCATGGATTCAGT